CTCCGACTGAAGCAAGTGTTTTCCAAACCCTGTCTCTCAGAGAGACTTGTCACTTAGAAAATGTTCCCTGATGAAGAAACTTTGGCTGAATGGTGCTTGTTCCTGTCTCCAATGTGGCGACACATCCAGGAGCCGTCTGAGGAGAAGCCCAGAATCTCTTCAGCTCAGGAAGCGCCTATGATTACGCACAAGCGTGACGCATCAACCCGGTCTCACAGTAAGACCGGGTTGGACCTGTTCAGGTTTACACAGACAATCTTTACATTTAGAATTGGCATACAGATGTAAAATTAATGCAGTAAAATATAAAGCATTTTATTTAAATATCCATTCATTATTTTACAAGCACAGAGAGCCGCATCATGGAAGAGCCGCATGCGGCTCCAGAGCCGCAGATTGCTGACCTCTGTGCTAGCCTACTTTATTGTCCCCAGCAATTTTTAAACCCCACTCAAGTGTATGGTTATTGTCCCCAGCAATTCTGAAAACAAACTGACGCCCTTGCCTCCGTCATAAAAAAAGGCCCAGCAGAGGATGAACTTCCTGAGACAGCTGAAGAAATTTAACCTATCAGTACAGTAGATGAGGCAGTTCTACACAGCAATCACCGTGTGGTGTGCTGGAGCCACCATCAGGAGCAAGAAGAAGCTGCTGCGTGTTGTAGGCTCTGCTGAGAAGGATCGCCCTCCATACAGGACCTGTACACCTCCAGGACATTGAGGCATGCAGGTCGAATAACAGCTGACCCGTGTCACCCTGGACACAGTCTTTTTGACTCACTCCCATCCGGCAGGAGGCTCTGATCCATTCAGACCAGAACCTCTCACCAGAAGAACAGTTTCTTCCCCTCTGCTGTTGGGCTCAAGAACGACAATCTGCCCACTCTAGTCGCTTTGTTCCAGTCACATGACCCGGTTGTGTTTGTACCTGAACTGATCTGCTCTGATTAATACCTACACTCTCTTGCATATAAAAACCACTTCTCTAATTGTTGTCACTTTACATTAAATATTTTATCATGAGTACATAATCACTTCCTAAATTTGCTCATCTGTTGTTTTTATCTTCTTTTGCACCAAGTACCACACCAGTTTCCTAATGTTGTGATTTCTCACAGACTCGCACACATGGCAATAAAACCTTCTGCTTCTGATTCTCATCCGGTCGGAGATCTCCAGTGCGACACCTAGTGGACCACTTCAGTACTACATGCGGTGCAGTGCTGTGTAGCAGCAAGTGTGTGATTAAAGACGCAGCCTCAACACGAGGTCAAACAGCAAAGTATATCACGGCCCTTAGGATTTCCCTGGAGGAGCTTACCCAAGTGGCTGGAGAGAGGGAAGTCTGGGCCTCTTAGGCCCCCGCGACCTGACTCCGGTTAAGCAGAAGAGAATTGGTGGATGGATATTGATTTAATGGTTCCAAGATCAAAAACTATGTCATTTTTTAAAAGAAGAAATTATTTTTTAGATGGTTTGAACCGAATAATCAAATGTATTTTAGAGAAATCTAATTTTGGGAAAAGTTTATAATTTTAGGTGAATTTTGTGCCAGGGTGTTCAGGTCACCACAGGAAATGAAATTCTGCCAAACTATGAGGTTACTACATTTTCAAAATAAATGGAAATGAATCTATTATAAGAACAAAATGATGGATAAAAACCAACACTAATAAAATCTGGGGAACCAAAACAAACAAACAAACAAACATAATAAAGAAAAATACCTTAAACTTGTTGACCAACATAAAGAAAGTTTCAGAATAAAAGCTGTTCAGGAAGATAATTGACCACAGGTCAGCTCTCTGGTCCAATGACTCCCAGTGAATTCTAAGGCCAAATCTTAATGACGTGATGACAGAAATGTAGATGAGAAGCATCGTGTCTAAGTGGACGTAAGAGGTAAAGGCTGCTTTGAGTGCTTTTAATGTTTCATCTGACACCAGCCTTAAAGAAAAGGTCAGCGGGTTACCTTAATTAGCAACAATCATTTATATAATCAAACTCAAGCGTGTCTCTGACTGATTTATTGGCGATGGAGCTCTGAGAGGCCGACGGTTTGACTGATGGCGTCACCAAGATGAAGGTCACTGAGTGTCCAGGGAAGAAGAGCGTCATCTTCTGTCAAGCATGAAAGTTGCTCTCAGGGCACCAGACAGTTGGACTCATTACTAGTGATGGTAAAACAGTAAATGATCTATTAAAGATCAGAAAGTACCATGTTGTCACACAATCGGCTGATTCGGGTCATGTCTGAATTTTTTAATTTGCAGGCAAAGCCCAAAGCAGAATGGTTCTTCCTGTGTGTCTGAGGGTGTTCTGATATGTAGTTAATTACATTTTACCAGCAATACCGATTACAGTGATGTGTGGGATAAACACAGATGTGAACAAAATGGGTAAAATGAACATTTTTGCATTCAATTTCCACTAAATGTATTTATTCTGTTGAATGTTTATAAATTTAAACAGACTGAGATTTCACTTCTGCAGATTTTCACCCTCTAAATCCACTTTTATAGGCTTCAATTTTTACTCCAACTTACGTCTGCAAAAGGAACAAGGAGTGTTTAAAATGACAGAAACCTTGAAAATACAAAGTAGTTCCCATGTGGAAGTGCTGCTTGTTTTTGGCAGCTTTGAAGTGGATAAAATGTCAGCAGCTTTTTATTGTTCATAGAAACCGGATTGGCATTCATCAGCACGAGCGTCCGTTAGCAACAGCAGCTGATTGAAAATGTTTAGGAGGTTCAAATGACACATTTCATATTTACTGTCCCTTTTCCCGGATAAAGCTTCTACCTGTGTAATATTCTTGGAACATCTTGGCAGTGTTGCAGTTTGAGAAGTTTTCCAGTTATTTAATTTAAGATGAAACTAAATCTTTATTTCAGTTGGTTTTTATTTCTAATGTTAATGTGGATTTTGAGTCTTTCGCTTCTTAAATTCCTCTCATCTTTCATTTTTCATCGCCTACCAGATAATTAACAAAAGAGCAAACCCCATCAAAACGGGAATTCGGATTATGTCCTGGCGAACGGGAGCCTCTAGGGCAGGGCGCTGTAAGTCCGTTCTACAAATGACACCTCACCACTGAGAAATACATGAAAGCACTTTCGTTCTGCTGCCATCCTTTTCTAATCACACTTGCATAAATACAGATTTGAACTTTTACAAAATACTTGAAAGCATTAAAATATGATTTATCTGATTTAAAGAACTGTGTTTACCACATGGCTCAGTACCCATGAAGCAGCTCAGCTTCACATGGGTTGGTGGCTCCCGTTCTAGAGGATGGAGACCAGAGAGCATCCTCATCAGAATCCCCTCAGCTGACTCCTTCAGATGTTAGAGGTAGCTCTGCTCCAAGCTGGATGCTCCTCATCTCCTCAGCAGGCTGAGCCTGGCCCCCTGTCGAGGAAGCTCACATCAGGGAGCTCTCACAGGCGAGGGATGGATGGACAGATCCATGTAAATCACATATCTGCTTTTCTACTTATCTTCATTACCTCCTCCTCACCCCAGCTGTCTCTGTGTGCTCTTATCCCTCAGAAACAAGACACTTGAACTCCTTCACTAATCGTGCCAGTGCCACGATGTGCTCCCTTTCCTCTGTTGTTGTGTCTGTCTAACCTGCCCCTCGGTACCCTGCTCACCTGTGTTCCCTTACCCTCATGCAGTTATACTCTGCCCTGCGATGTTTGTTGGATTGTGTACTGTTTCCCTGGCTTGTCTCCTGGTATCCAGTCCTGACTTTCTTCAAAAAAAAAAACTCTTTAAAAACTCCAACGGCTGCCTCAGAAAGATGTCTCATGCACTTGGACCCGAACTGCAAGCCCACCAGCCAGAACCACCTCTAGAAGCAACGTATAACACCACGAGCTCCGAGCTTGCTGAAACTATTGATGGGAGTTTAGGACCTTAAATGTCTGAGTTTCTGTAGTTTTAAAGATTCAGGTCAATCTACAAACAACTTTTCGAACTTTTCATGATGGTATAGGGACCTAAACTGTGAAATGGTCCCTAATGGATGATCAATCCACATCTGTGCTGAACAGATGCCAGTGTTCTACTGTAAGACAACTTCATTCAGCCAACACACCGAATGCACGGAGCACGACAAAAGTCTACGGTGGAAAAAGTATTGATGTGAAGGGAGTTTATGAAGCAGACTCGCCTGAACGTCTGTTGACGGCATGAGGGTTGTGTATGATCATCCAGTCTGCAAGGAGGTTGTGGATGATTGGCATCAGAGCTGAGGCTGCGAGGAGGTTTAAACCATGATGATCAGGTGAAGATAATCAAATCCAGGTAAACTAGATGTGTGACCAGGTGGAGAACGGCACGAAAACAGTCCAGAAGCTAAAGTCATGACACCAACTGCAGGAACATCACCCTAAAATTCACCTCAGCTTCAAAAAGACAAATAGATGAACACTTGCAAGCGTCTGATGCTGAGTTTTGAGTCAGTGCTTCAGGAGGATTCCTCCTCTTAAAATATCATGCATAAAGGTTTGAAAAGGACAAAAATTATGAACCAGTCATGATCTCACTTTACCCTTTTATTTATTTAGTTTACTCGTTCTGCGAAAGGACAAAAACTACAACTATTCTGACTAAGCTGCAGCTTTTAAGTTGAAGCTTTGGACCTGATCTTCATTTGCCAAAAATTATATATAGACTGTTTTCATGTGGTTTTAGTTAAGCTTCTTTCAAACACATGTTGTCGTCAGCAGCCTGGAGCTGCCCTGTGAAGATGAAGGAGAAGCTGTGTGTTTTCTGGCTCGCTGACAGTATGACTGAAATGTGACAGCCACTTCTCTGGCTCCTATCTGCTTCCTCTGCGGCAGAAACGGGTTTAATTTTAAACCCTCTGTTGTTTTTCTGAGCAGCCTGACCACCCTGAGGATGTGTGATGTCACCGATCAAATGTTGCCTCCCTCTGATGATAGAAACAGGAGCATTTTTATGATTTTTTTTAAGAATCTACAGCCACTCCAGTGCTTTACAAAACAAGAGGATTCACAGTTTATTAGAGTCACACAAAACATTCATATATGAAACAAACTGGGTTTAAATCACAGCAGATGGAGATTATAGATGTGCTTCCATGATATTGCTGGTTACATTTTGGATGTGGATTGTGAGTTTTCTACAAACATAAAGAGGATCTGAGTATTTACAAGAACTTTATGAATATTTATAATTTTCTCGTCATTGTTTCACCTTCATGACACCCTCACAGACTCCTTCTGTGATGTGAGACAGGGTTAAAACTGCAATAAATCTTTATTTTAAGTGTTGGTAGTCACTCCAGCTGCTCCTCACCTGGACCTTTTAAAAAGTTATGAAGTTTTTTTGTTTGTTTCTTCTCTCGATGCTACATTCAGATCCGGAGAGGCTCATAAGCACTTCAGCAGGAAGAAGTTGCAGAAAGCTCCGCGGGGACAGTCGCACATCTTTCCGATCCGAGCGCCTTTCCTCACTGCGCACTGCTCCCCGACATCACACTGAGGAAAAGGGGGAGCGGAAACAGGAGACAAGAGAGACGGATTAGGCCCACAAGAATAAAAGAAACATGTTGATGGCTTAAAAGGTGTTTTAAATTTGCATTTACGTACTGTTGGAACTTGTCCAAATTTCTTTTCCCACGCCGGAAGTCGGTTAGCCTGCAGCTTTTCAAGAACTTCTTGGAGAGCTCCAAGCTGATAAGTAACAAAAACAAACTCAGGAAACGTTGATTATTTTAAATTTCCCCTAAATGCAACGCGATTATAATTTACTGTAATATCCTAAATTGTTGAATTTAGTTTTATTATTTAAATTCCAGTTGCGCGCACAAACTCGTGAGAAAAAGTCAGATGAACACAAATCACAAATGCATACATTTACAAATGGTGTTTAGTTTTATTCCCTTTTCTAAAATTTTATTACAACAACATTTTTGAGGGGAAATCGCACAAAAGTACTAAAAATGAACCCAAACTCGGTTTGGGTTCCTCGCCTTTTTGCGCGCAGACTGCGGGTGCAGGTGCGTGGACTTACCAGCTGCTTCTCACTGGTAAGGTTCGGTCCTTTCGGGTAGAAGTCCCGCAGAGCTCTGGGGCTCAGCTCCTCCTCGGACTCCGTGTCCATTAGCTGCGCTCCGGCGGCTCCGGCGGAGAGCAGCAGCAGCGCGCAGAGGAGCGCGCCGCTCGGCAGCCTGGAGCTCTGCATGGTCCCGGTGCGCGGCAGCATGTGGCCAGTTCCACGATCAAAAACAACCGCTCCTGCACGACAAACACCTTTTTATGTGAGAAGTCCCATCTGTTTGCTCCACCTTATCCTTTGATTTTCACCCCCCTCGCTCTTTTTGTCATGCGTAACAGCTGCCTTGGGTGAGTCATCACGCAAAAGTTGCTGGGCAAAAAAACCCCACAAAGAAGTCAACAAACAGCAGCTCGGACTAGTTACTGACAGAGTAAAAGACAAGCCCATACATGGATGATGAATAACAAATTAAAACGGATTATGCAAACAACAAGAAGTTTGCTATCCGAGACAAACGAACTGATTTGTTTTCTGCATTTGACATTCACTCTAAATATGGAGTAGAAACACAGAAAGCTGAGAGATTAAATATAGCAGCACTGGTGTGTTTCAGAGAACACTTGTTACACAGATTATAAAATCTGTAACTTTTCTCTTATAATTGGCAGTTTTTGTACAAATTCATTAATGGTGTTTTACTTTACAAACATGCAAGTCTTCTACCTGAACTGGGTGTTTTTCTGATTGAAACAACAAAAACAGACAAAACATTTTATCAGCTTCAGTCAAAAGAGTCTGATAAAAGTTCTGATGTGCTTCTTGAACCAACAACACACCTGCAACAATTACACCAACCAGCCAAAACAGAGATCGATGCAAAAGAACCATAACAAACGTGCAGTTGCTTTGGAGCAAATAATAAATCAAATACCGGCCATTTACCATAAATCAAGGTCAGCAGAAAAATGAAAGTCAGTTGTGTGAAATATAAACGAATAAACAGGCTGTTTAAACATTTATTCTCCTCCTTTCTGAGTCCACAGGATCAACGTTACTGTTCCGATCGTGTTCTTCATCCTGCGCTTGAGTTATCCCAGCATTAAATCCTGCATTGATCTCTGGATTCAGAGCCGACGGAGATGGAAGAGCAGGAAGCTTTGATTGTGCTGGATGCTGCATGACTCATGTCTCCCTCTACACCGGCTTTAATGGCTGAGACGCCAATTTAACATTTCATTCACAACAGCCACGCAGGCTATTTCATTCACAAACAGGTCGTCAGTTTGTGTGTGTGTACAGTTCAGCAGGAGAAGCGTCCCTCATGTGCTTCTCTGGTGTTTTCAGAGTAACGTGTCGGTCGTTAAGCCATTTGACTCCATCTGCCAACAGACTGCACGGTTAATAAGAAAGTGAGTTTTCCGACTGCACACTTTACATCAAAACAAATACAGGCAAGTAAAAAGATACAGACTTATGTAAGCGTTGGAACATGTTCAAAAACAACCTCATTCCATTTCTTTATTTAGCTCCAAATAACAAAAATAATCTGGCTTGATATCCGGCTCTGATGTTGATCCAGACTAGAGGCACAGAACTTGTTTTTAAGCTCATTCTCAGCCTGCCATCATGTGTAGAGGTCATTTAGGAGGTTTGTAAGTTTGAGGGTAAATTAGGGTTTATGTGTTTCACTCTTGAGAATCACCAAGGGGTTAAATATCTTGTTAGCCATAAAACGCAGCAACATCAACACATTTCATTTAAAGCCACTTCAGAGCCCCCAGCATCTGTTGTCAGATGCTCATTATTATAGCATTTTGGTTTTCTTTTTGTTGTGCTCCATGATCATCAGTGTGTGCAGGAGAGCTCTGATTTTAAATCAGAACACAAGATGCACATTTAACAGGTCAAGGTTAAATAAGTTTCCTTTCTCTTTAGTTTCTCTTTTTTTCTCCGTATCCTGCAGGTGGTTCAGTGGGTTCTGCACTCTGACCTCTGGAAGCTGACCTATGGTGATCTCTGTGAAAATGTCTCTCATCAGACTCCGCACGGACAGTTTGTTGGAAGTAAACAAACAAATATTCTGCTCTGCCCAATCTCCAGCTTCACCTGCCCGATTGACCTCTGGACTCACCACCTTCCTTGTTGTACCCCTCTGGTTGGCTCCTCAAGTTCCTGAGACCTCCTCCAAACCTACACATTAAACAACCATTACTTTTATTCTTAAAAAAATATTCTTAAAAGCTCTCAATGATTGTTTTTCTCACCTGATCCCAGATCTCTAGTGCTCCTCATAAGGATCCCAGTGATGGTTTTAGTCTGTTGTTCTGACAGCACGTGGATACTGACTATGAGCCTTAGTGTTGTTACTTGCTTCTTAGAATGGAATAGAATAGAATAGAATAGAATAGAATAGAATTTATTGATCCCACAATGGGGAAATTCACTTGTTACATAATCACAAACACTTAGAGCAGAGGTCACCAACCTGGTGCCCGTGGGCACCAAGAAGCCCCCAGAAGCCCTATAACAGCTCTTTTCCATCGCCAGGTCTGGAATGTCCCATCTGGATATTTTTGGACCGGTGTGTTCCGGTAAGGCAGTGGTGGCTCCAGAATTTTTTTTTCTGCAGGTGCTATGAAGGAGCTAGTCTTCTTATTGAGGGTACAATGGAGGAAGTGGTCATGCGTACCTATTGTTCTCTAAAACACCTTCAACACTAGCAGATACATATGCGTGCACAACACCTCAACAACACCTGAAACAATCATTAATATACATTATAAACATGAACAATCGCTGACTTTTCCATGAAATCATAAACACATACGGCCACACAGAAAACCATCTATAGTGTTGCAAGGTTAGCTAACGCATTTCCAGCGGCAAAACCCTCGACTGCTGCGGCGGTTGAGGGTTGACCCTCTTCTTCCAGACCCGTAGGTTTTTGTGGGTCTGAGATCACGTCCAAAGATTCATTCGTTTCTGCCTGAACCCGTGGAAATTTGGGCAACAAAAACTGATCCATTTTACCACTAGCTCTACCTTTCACTCGTTCACAGGTGGAAAATGAGGTCAAAGGTTAACATCAATTTCCTGTTTTGGTTGAAGTTTTTACTATCTATATAATAATTTACTGATTATTTTTGTTTTGTACGTTAAATATTATCACATCCACACGTGAAATTAAAATTAAATAAAAAAAAATCTAACATTTACTTGGGGGTGCTATGGGGGTGCAATAACTAATCCAGGGGTAGCTATAGCGCTCCCCTGGCGCCGCCACTGCGGTAAGGGTCTGGAATTTTCAGACGAGTGTTTCAATCGCAGTTTAGGCCATCACGTCAGCAGGCGGGGTTGAACGAAACATAATGCGCGATTTTAAAAGTTGTGAAACTATTCAGCATTTCTGTGCTGCAATAAATGGTCTACAGCGCTAAAGACAGAAATAAAATGCTCATCACAGCTTCCACATGTGACTCCAGAGTGCAGTCGCTAAGTCCAGAAGCCTGCTTCACTGCCTTGGCTATAAATAGCATCCAACGGTAGCAACTTCGTATATTTCTCCCATCCAAAAAAAAAAAAAATCCATCATTATCTCATTCACATTGATATAGATTTGGTAATAAAACTGTTTAAATTTCTTCAAACGTATTTATTATAGCTGAAGTTTAGTTCAATTCAAACCTACTCTAGGTCAAGGATCACTATTGTGAGCATGACAAAACTTGGTGTATCAACTGTAGCCCTTCAAACGACTGGAGTATCGCGAAGCAGCTCTTTGCTTCACACAGGTTGGTGACTTACAGAATAATTCAAAGAAAAATAATGACAAAGGTGCATGTATATACACATAGGCAGTAAGCTATAATTGTAACCGTCAACCTCTAAAACCCACAGATAAACAGCGGTTAAATGGTATTACTTATGGTAAAAAGTGCTTAGCAGTATTACTATATGAAAACTTTACTACAGGGCATTCAAGGCGAGGACTGCATGCTAGTTGTGGCCTTCAGTGATTTTGTTCAGGCCCCAAAAATTCTGGCTCACTAGCACGGACTGTTGATGCAGAGACACCAGTAATAAAATTGTTTATGTCATCACTATTTTAAGGCAAACACATTATGCAGGTGGTCCCGACACCCCCAGCAGGTCCCTGAGATCCAGTGACCAAAGCCTACTGGTTGTGCAGCACCAGGCTGAAGACCAAAGGTGACAGATCATTTGCTGCTGTGGCCCCCAGACTCTGGAACTCTCTCCCCCTGAGCCTGAGATCAGTGGACTCAGTGGTCTCCTTTAAAACCCAGCTGAAAACTCACCTGTTCAGGCTGCTTTGAAGTGACCTTCTGTTCATCCTCTTCTTCCTCTCTTGCTTCTTTTCAAGCTGGAGTGTCTTTCAATTCTGTCTATTTTGAGATCCCGTGATTACCTTTTCCTTTTTTATATTTTATTCCAATTTTTTTAATCTAAACTTTTACTTTGTAATTTTCTCATGCTGTTTTAAATCAGTTTTTGCTTTTGTTGTTCTTGTGAAGTGCCTTGTGATCTTTATCTGGAGAGGTGCTATATAAAAAATTGTTTCTTCTTCATGAATCATCAATGGAAAGGTAAAGTAGAATTTATTTTATTTGTAAATGATCCACACTTGTATAGCACCTTTCAGAATCAGAGGACTCCAAAGCGTTTAACTGTTCATCCATCCACACACTGGTGGTGATGAGCTACGATGTAGCCACAGCTGCCCTGAGGCGCACTGAGGGAGGCAAGGCCTGCCGAACACTGGCGCCACTGGTCCCTCCGACCACCACAAGGCAAGGTAGGTTAAGTGTCTTGTCTCTCTGGTCGGAGCTGGGAAGAAGAAGAAGAAGAAGAATGTATCATTCTATAGCGCCTCTCAAGATGAAAATCACAAGGCGCTTAAATTGGGATTGAAACCAGCAACCTCTACCTCCTGAGCTCCTGCTGTCCTGTAGATCAACAGTTTCTGATTAAACACAGCCTCAACAACCATACCACATCCAAAGTCACTTAAATCCCTTTTCTTCTCCATTCTGATGCCCAGCTTGAACTTCAACAGCTCTGTTTCACCACAGGTAGGTGTCTGAATGCATTGAGCTGCTGCAACCTAACAGACTGCTCAAATATTTGTGTTAACAAGCAGTCACACTTGTACCAAATACGTAAATGAGCTGGTCAGGGTATTTTTCTCTCTTTTTGAAAGGTTCATGATTGTTTCATTTTGTGTGATGCATGTGTGACGCAGTTCCAGGAAGTCGACTATAAATCACAG